ATGAACGAATTGACTCAGAAAAAGATTCGCTCATTTTAATGAACGAGTTCGAACAGGAGAGTCACGAACGTGCATCACAGAACAGAGCAAGGCGAGCATTTATGCTTATAAAACTTATTTTTTTAAATGGCCGCTCATTTCACTAGATAAGACCCTTATTCATCACCTGGTGTCGTTTAAAGCCCTTTGAAGCTGCACTGAAACTCTCATTTGAACCTTGAACCATATGGTCCCCATTGAAGTACATTATATGGAGAAAAATCCTGGAATGTTTTCATCAAAAACCTTCATTTCTTTTCGACTGAAGAAAGAAAGACATGGACATCTTGGATGACATGGGGGTCAGTGATGCGCGGGTCAATGTATAAACAACCCGCACCCGACCGACGTTTTCAACTACCCGCCCGCAACTCGGACCTCAAAAAAAAGTAAGAAAATATTGTACCCAACCCGCTTCTTGACCGCATTTTTTTAAGTAAATAGTAAGTAGTAAATGCTCATCTTAGCGTCATTGGGCCATAGATGTGTAACAACACAGCATCGCAAGAAGACGTACACATAACAAAGGCAGCACTTTGCTCATCATCTTTCATTATTTCGGTAAATGTCTCCCACACTTTTACTCTTTCTATTTGTGTATTTGCGGAGCTTCCACTCCTCAATCATCACCTTTTCTTCTCGCCTCCATCTCTCTGCAGACTTTAGTGATCATAGACATGGCCGGTTCGTGAACGAATCGTTCTTTTGAACCGGTTCATTTTAGTGAACCGGTCGAACCAGTACACTAAATCGTTCGCGTCTTGCGTCAGTGCTTATCCACAAGTTAATAAAGATACTCACTTTCAGACATGCATGAATCGAAATAAACCAATATCCCAGAGTATATTTTACTTCAGTAGCTCCAACAGTTCACTGAATTGAGACATATGGTGCCACTGATGAGCACGAGCAGCTGATACTGCGCATCCGCGTACTACCGAACGCACAGGTACAGCGGTTCTCGGATCACCAGTACAGAACCGAGAACTGTTTAGACTGAGCTTGTGTGTCATCTTCGTGCCAGTTATTCAGCCAATAAAGTGTAGGCCTATAGATTTCATAGAAAATTGTTTCTAGTACTATATAAATACAAAGGTTTAATTGGCATCTTTTTTTTCAAACGACCCGACCGACCACGACCCGAATATCATTAAAAATATTTTTGGGTGACCGCAGGCACCCGCTCATTTTGGATCAACCTGCGCATCACTGATGGGGGTGAGTAAATCATCAGCAAAAGTTTTTTTGAAAAGTGAACTACTACCTTTCTTTAATTCACTTAAAGCGTGCCACATGTTAAGGTATTCGTGTGTGACTCCCGCAGGTTTATTTCTGGACGTCCAGCCCGTCTCTGCCGGCCAGTGAAGAAGGTTTCCAGCCCATGCCCTCCATCACCATCCGCCCGCCAGACGACCAGCACCTGCCCACCGCCAACACCTGCATCTCTCGCCTTTACGTGCCACTTTACTCTTCCAAACAGATTCTCAAACAGAAACTTTTACTAGCCATCAAGACCAAGAATTTCGGTTTTGTGTAGTTAAACGAAACTCGTTTAATCGTTGTGTAATATTCTAGTTCCATTTTTGTAGATTTATTTTTTGTCTATACAATTTTATGAAATCTAAAAAGTGCTGTCGCATCCCCGGCAGTCATTTTTTTGGGTCTGCGTTTCAAACGTGGACTGCTTGTTCTTATTTTGTTTTGTTTTTTATTTCCGTTATCAGAGTATAACGCAACATTCCTGCATTGGCTTTTGTAAAGTTGAAGCCTGCAGCTCCATTGGCTTGAACTGTAACTTCCCATGACTTTGGCCTGACGGTAAACTGTCCGCCAAACCCCAGCCAAAGATGACAGCAGGAGTATTTAAAGAAAAAGGAAGATTACACTGTGATTTGATTTATTTTTTTTCCCTGCCCTAATCATAAATATTACTATCACTGAGAGTTCACTGCTGCCTTTGTGGAAAGTCATTTTTTCTTGTATAGAGGGAGTAGGGAATTTCAAAAATAAACTTGGATGCAAATTAGTGTTGTGGTTATTCTACACACACACATGATCCTTTAGATGAAAAGTTGTAAATGTCCCACTATGTCTTCAGAGACTTCAGTTGGGGGAGGTTTGGAAACACACTTTCAAAGTATACACTGAATATTCGCTTACCTTTTACTGTATGTGTTACGCAGTGATAAACTAGTAAGCTGTTCTCTCATCACTTTAGTAGTGTCGGTTGTCAATGTTGGATATAAAATCAGGTAATTTGCATTCAATAGGCTCTATGCACAACTAAAACAGGTCGCATCGCTTCGGGTCCAGGTCTTTTGTATGTGCTTCATGAAATTTTTTGCGGTTTTACTCAAGATACCTTAAAAGGAGCAAGCAAAGATTAGCATAACCAATGTCCCTCACATGTGCAGACATTTTATATTTTTTCTTCTTCACAGTAACGTTTAGATATTTAAATGGAATAAAACGCCAATAACAAAGTGAACTACACTGTAAAAATGAATATGCTTTATCTAATCAATAGAATTGTGGCAACCGATTACAAGCAATATTATTAGTTAAATTGAACAAATTTATTCCTAAAAAGTTATTCCTTAAAAGTTAACCATTTAAAATGAGTAAAGTTTACACCAAAAAATTTAACAAAAATATCTCACTAACAGACAGACGTCAAAGATTAATTAATGACTCTTTATTTTATATTGCCAACATTGAAGACACCTAATGTTAACAAGCAGAATCACTGAAGGAGAAAAACGTAATTTTAAAACAAACACCGATCACCATAATGGTGACTTCAATTTATGTTTTTTTTGATGTTGTAAGTTTTACTCATTTTAAATGGTTAACTTTTAAGGAATTAATTTGATGAATTATTATTCAATTCTAATATGTTAAATTTATTTAATAATATTGCTTGTAATCTGTTGCCACAGTTTTTTTGATTAGATAAAGCATATTAATTTTTACAGTGTAGTTAGGTTAGCTGATTACCTTAAAAATCATTAGATATTATAGTCAGTTCTTACGGCCGTTAACACTTTCTCTGACAAGCGTATGCGATGAGACCTGTTTTCCGGTTTGGTCACTTGACGCTCGGCAAAAAGCCTATTTCTGCAGAAAACTCAAACTCTGCAAAGAAAAACCTGCAATATACTAAACTGGGTTAGAAATGCAAAGTAGTGTGCATGTCTGAGATGCCAGTATCACACTCGCTGAATTAAACCTGAAACGTGGTCATTTGACAATATTGTTTATTACTTTTTCCAACATTTGTTGCATGCTTGATAACTGGTTTAAACGCTATTACACAGTATTTCACTCTATCACAGGATATTGTGTCAAGTAAACAGCAAAGAAAAGACATCAAAGGTTAAAGAAAAGTTGATTGAGTTTACCACTGTCTAAAACCAGCTCCCATTTGTTAATGGTCATTAATACTATAACAAACATGAACTAAAAATTAGCCATATATTATAATAAAAATGTTGAATTGTTATCAGAGATAAAACTGTTGATCTTAGAAATGAAGAGTAACTAAGATTAAGAATGCTTTATTTTCATAGTTCATGTTAAGTAATGCATATAACTAATGCTAAAGGAATTTTGTAAAGGGTTACCGAACTANTACTGGTCACAGTCAAAAAATGCACCACCACATTTCCTACTAATCGAGACGGAGGCTGGGACTAACAATATCAGGGAGCAACACTGTTCATGCAAAGCTGGGTAGGTCTCTATTCACTTCTATAATCGTTATTACAAAGCAAACGGACTACAGGAGTATAACGTTGTATTTATTGCGTATCAACAAGCGGTATGAGAACCGAAATCATAACATAAAACATTATAAAACGGTCTAAGTAGTATAACTTCACAGTAAGGTTAGAAGTAAAAAAAGATGTGCTTGTTGATCTTTGCGGGGTTTAGCTGACTGAGGACATCCACATAGTTTAATCCAAAGACGACACTTGTCAGGATTTTACTTCGGTTTTGGAAGGGAAAAAATGGACACCCCCTCCAACCTCTCTGGGAAACGCGTATCTGTGTTACAAATACACGAGGCACAACGTTTAACCATATTTTGGATGTAATAGCCTGCCGAGACCAAAAGTATGAGACGCCTGTTGAAAGTCAATGGAGCGCTGTGGAAAAGTGTCCGACCTCTGTGGGAGCTCGTTCTTGGATGCGCTGTGATTGGTCAATCTACATTCTAGGGCGTGGCTTAGCCAAAGGTGAATTGCAGTTTCTTTACTCGAATAGGCCTAGACCTATACACTGTAAAAATGAATATGCTTTATCTAATCAAAAAAAAATTTGGCAACAGATTACAAGCAATATTATTAATTACATTTACAAATTAGAATTGAGTAATAATTAATCAAATTAATTCCTTAAAAGTTAACCATTTAAAATGAGTAAAACTTACAACAACAACAAAAAAAAAAACAGACAGAAATTGAAGTCACCATTATGGTGATCAGTGTTTGTTTTAAAATGCCGGTTTTCTCCTTCCGTGATTCTGCTTGTTAACATCAGGTGTCTTCAATGTTGGCAATATAAAATAAAGAGTTCTCAATTAATCTTTGACATCTGTCTGTTAGTGAGATATTTTTGGGTGTAAACTTTACTCAGTTTAAATGATTAACTTTTATTCTTTTCAGTTTAATCAAAGGAATAATTTGATTAATTATTACTCAATTCTAATTTGTTAAATTTAATTAATAATGTTGCTTGTAATCTGTTGCCACAATTTTATTGATTAGATAAAACATATTCATTTTTACAGTGTACCTACAAATCCAAAAAACACTGTTTATTACAGTACATTTGTTTGTGCTATTTCTGCCTTGTTTATTTGTTCTTATTTCATCACCGTTTACTTGTCCTTTAGTAATGCTTGAAATGTATATTACCGGTAGTTAATAATTTTTTTTTTCTGTGCTATTTTTGTTTAAAACCATAGGCAAACGTTCCTTGTGGAAAAGTTCTAAGTTCTTTAGCTTGTTTGTGTTCATGGAATTCAGCTGCAACTAAATGTTTTGCAAAAAAGACTTAATGTGAATGATTTTTTAACTTATTGGAATCAAAACTAGGAATTGGACTTGATAATCAGAATCGGAATCGCTAAACACCCAACCCTATAATCATATTTCATATTTCATATCAAAGAAACCTGCAGGTAACCTGTGAGTGTGCTTCATGATGCTCTTCTATTTCAAAGGCACCATTTGTTGCTGGGCAACTGGATTTTTGTCTGAACCACTTAGACATCTTCACCCCAGTGCTTCTAGGATTCAACCCCGTACATATGGCGAGGTAAGGCTAATCAAGGCAAAAACAAATCCCTCTCTGTTTATTACAAACTTATAATTAACATTTTTTGTATCAAAAATAACAACAGATTGCTAACACTCATGCCATCCTTACAGGAGTGAGCAAATGCAGGACTGTTCATTTCACTTTAAAGATGTTGCAGAGAGGATGGCTGCAGAGCAGAGACATAAAAAAGCATACGTGCTAAATCCTGTGTTGGGGGTTTGAGAAAAATGCATTGACATAATTATTTAAATGAACACATAAACAATAAATATCAATGTTCTTACTGCTGTTTAAGGATCTCTGACCCGTCATGAGAAGTAATGATGCTGTTGTCGTGGTTGAAGAACCTCTGGTTTCTCTTTAGGCTGAGGCCATCAGCGGATCGTCCAGGATGAAAGGGGGCAGTGCAACTAAAATCATTCTGGAAACTGTTCTTCTGGCCGGACATGAAGCTGCATTTAGAGACAAGACGATGACACCTGAGTATGTTTTCAATTTGCAGTTACGTTTTAATTTAATTTAGACAAACATATTTAAAATATTAAAATATGTAGTATTATTTGTTGTGTGTGTGTGTATATATATATATATATACATTTTGCTTTCAATTTTAGTTTCACCCCTTTTTGAGCATAGACATGAAAATGCAACAGTTGCAATTCACGAATGCTTTACAATACATACGTTTTTTTTTTTGTTTTGTTTTTTTGTTTTTTTTAAAGAAGACACTCATTATATTATTACTCAAGTTAAAAAAAGTGTAAAAAAAAGTTTAGGTTTACTATAAAGCAAATGTGCTTCACTAAACATTTTAAAATTTAAACTGAAATATACTCTAAAATAATATCTACTCTAAAAATGCTATAAAATCAAAGACATGTCTAACTAAACTGTGGGTTTTTTTTCCGCTTTACCAAAAATAGCCACCGGGTGACACCCACATTACATTGAGGGTGCATGTTTTGATGCATTCTCCTCTAACAAATTAATACATTTCTGTCACAACATCACTTCAATCACAACGATACATTCACCTTGGAGCGTATCACTGAGAAAGGTTCTGCTTTGCGATGAAGGTTCGGGATTGTTACGACCCTTCTTTGGCTCGTTCCCATCTAGGGAATTTTAGAAGGGGAACACAGAACCGGTTCAATGAAACCTCTCTATGGACCACTTAATGTGTTGAGAAAACACGAGAGACACTCAGAGATATAATGAAAAATAATTTAATAGTAAATAAGTTGGTTAACATAATATGTGAAAAAGGGCAAAAGGAAAAAGGGAAACAGGATTTGTGCCAAATAAACGAAAGTAACATAAACAATACTAACTAGACCATCTCCAATCTAAACCTAGACTAAAACAAAAGAACAAAGAAAAAGTCTTCAACGTCCTAGACGCCGTGTCTAAACTACACTAACTAATAACAAAAATACAGGGGGTGGCACAAATCTCTAACCTAGTGAATATAGACACACAGAAAAACCTAAGTGTGCAAAATGTATGTCACGTGACATTCTTACCTATTCCCTTTTCTCCTTCCCAACTAATCCAGCCTTGCAAAGCTGCTTAATAGACTCAAAATCTCACAAATGTGAAGTTTCAGGGAAAACTCGAAAGGTAAGCATAACATGACAAAGTAAAGAAAACATTTAACAGAACTAAATCAACTGGAGAGAAAACAAAAAAACAAACATCTCAAAACAAGACCAAAGTCTCTCAAAGCAAACACAAAAATCTCTCTCTCTTCCCGCAGTTAGCACGCGTCTTAAGTAGGGCTTCTCCAGGTGTCGCGCATCGGGCTGATGAAGATCCCGCCTCCCAGGCAAACCCGCTCATTACGCTGATTGACAGGTGTTATAGCCAATCAGCGACGACCTGCGAAAGCGAAAGTAAGGAAGAGAGACAAAAGAAAAACACAAACCTCGAAGGAAAACAATCTAACCGTCCCTAAGGACGTAACAGGGATGAATAACTAGTTCTTTTCCAAAGTTTCATCATCGGACTTGTGCTCGAATTGATAAAAATCAACGTCATCATTACAATCACTGAGGACTGAGGAAGACTCCTGAGCTGAAGTTCAGTTCTGTCAGGACCACTATGGTCAAATACGATTGACAATGAATTGACAATTAGCATACAGTTTGGATTGGCGGTCTGGTTCTGGTCTGGGCAAGAACTCCCTGTGCATCCATGCAGCCTAGCATGGATAAGAGCAGGGAGAGCAGCAATAACCGCCCTTAGGGTAAACAGAACAGAACCAACATGAATGTATTGCATTAATTCAAGATTTTAAAATACAACATATTTCGAGAATTTGTTCTGATTCAAAGGGGAATCAGAATGTCTTGCAAATGCTGACTGACTAGAGGAGGAGCTGGGGATGGAGGAGGGTAATTAGCTCCTGAGAAACGATAGCGGCTAATATTACCGAAGAAGCTCATATTCCTATAGATAGATGTGGATCAGCTAAAAGTCAGCTGATGCAAGCTTGACTAATGTCATCTGCTAGAACTGACGCTACGCTTAATTTATGGTATGGTCACATACCTTCAGACGAGCTCTGAGGTAGACCAATTGTAACAAACTTGCAACACTCTCTTGTTTGGTCACATACTTAAATGAAGGGGATCCATTCATCCAAGAGTAGAGTTAAGTAAATTTATGGTTTTGTGAAAAACCCAAACTGTGTAGATAAACACAACATCAAAATTGTCAGCAAATCATCACATCACAAGTAGCTCTTGTTAGAAGTGAGTGTTCCAATATTCCAAAAGTTCATTAGAAGTCCCAGAGTAGAAGTCCAACAGAAAGTGTTTAAATCATAAAGCATCAGTCCTCGTAATCAACAAAGGTGTAGAACCAGAGCACAACATAGTCCAGATGAAGTGTCCATATTGAATGAGGTCAACAGAGAACCCTCTAAACAAACAGGCAAATACAAATCAAAATATGCAAAAAAAACATTGATAATAAACAATCGAATTACAAAATATATACAACTTACATTGAGCTGTTGAACCAAAAAGATTCCTCAAAATAGGATTTCTTGCATACGGCTCAGTTGTGCAAACACTCAAAGCCATGCCAACACCTGTCTAAACACTCTTACTGTCTCTCTTAAAAGGATAGCCCTACCCAAAGAAATCTCTATAGCTCCCCCTTGAGGCGGGGAGTTGAATTACAGCACAAGAAATGTAACATTCTTTCAGAACTGTTACAAACTGGGTCTACTGACCAATCAGAGCCGGCTCGTGGAAAGGAGGAGTTTAGAGAGACTGATTCATCTAACGAGTCATTTGAGAATCATTGAAAAATGTGGTGATGTGCAATGTATATCATTTACATAGTGCTTTTAACAATATAGACTGTTTCAAAGCAGCTTTACAGTGATAAAAGGAAATTAAAGGAACAGAGATTGTTTTGGCTTTACTACAGCAGCTCTAAGATAAAGTTATCGTCCAGCTAAAGTTAGTTTTGATTGATTCACTTCCATTGCAAAGATCATTAGTTATTAACTTAAAACCCTTAAAACACTCCAGCCCGCTAAGTCGCACAACAACAGTACCTGGAAGCTCGAGAACGTAAACCTTGAAATAGGATCTCCAAGGTGCAAGCCTTGAATATATAAATATATATATATAGAGAGAGAGAGAGAGAGAGAGAGAGAGAGAGAGAGAGAGAGAGAGAGAGAGAGAGAGAGAGAGAGAGAGAGAGAGAGAGAGAGAGAGAGAGAGAGAGAGAGAGTGTGTCCTGAATATCAGGGTGAACAGGTGAACAAAAAGGAAAACAAAAAAAGGAAAACAAAACCCACGAGAAAACAGATACAAATAATAATGACTTTAGACATAAACTTGACAATAAACTACACAAGAACAAACAGCTAATACAAGATCACAACTTCGCTAGACATAACACTTGACAAGGTACTCACAGGTACACTCACACAATGTATAAAACAAAGTTTGACAATGAACCGGCAAACACGGGACATGACAGACTGAGACAAAGGCACAAACCAATAAAGAACGACAAACAATAATAAAGGCAAACATGGGAAAACAATAGCAGGGTTGTTGTGAAATAAAAAATAATAGAACTCGAGGAGTTTCACAAGGTCTTAATGGGGGTCTGGATTCCACAGGATGAGGGCTGGGGATGAGAAATCTGGGCAGGCTTGGGCAGGAACACTCAAGGCCTTGGGGGAAACAGTCCGGGGCTGAGAAGCGATGGGGGTGACCTGGGGAACTGCAGAAAACATGACAGGGGGTGTGGAAGGTGGCCATGGGGAGAAGAGAGGCGATGCTGCAGCAGGCTGCGAAGCTGGAACGGGGACAAAGGCCCCGTCCACACTACTGCGTTTTCGTTTAAAAACGGAGACCTTTTGCTACGTTTGCACCTCCCGTCCACACTAAAATGGGAAAAACGAAGACCTAAAACGGAGAAGTTTAGAAACGCTGCAGCTGCGTTTTGTGTTTTGAATCTCCGGAGGGCGTTTTAGTGTGGACGAGACAAAACGGAGGAGTTTACAAACGATGACGCAGAGGCTCACGCTCGGCTCTATGATTGGGTGTCATCAGTCATGACGTATCTTTCCCTGATTCGCCAACCACTGTTTACACCGGCGCGCGCATGCCCAGTGTTGGTGAATGGTCACGTGATCCACGTTTTCAGTCGTTTTAGTGTGGACGGAGATAAATTCTAATATGCAGGTAAAACGTGGACGGGGCCAAAGAGTTCTGCAGTCGAACCAGAACCAGCGCTACTCACGTCCAACTTGGAAGTAGCGCTTCTAAAATCTGACTCGGGAGTAGAGTCCTCAGCAACCAACTTAGAAAGAGCAATCCGTGCAGCTGCCTCAGGAAAAGCAAACTCTGCGGCTGGCGTTGGAACAGCGATCTCTGTGGCAGGCCTTGGGTGCAGCGCTCACTGACACAGTAGGCTCGGGACAAGACTTGACAGGTTTGACAGGCACTTCAAGGATCTTGGCAAGACTAGTAAGATAGTCAGCTAGAGTCTCGGAAGCAATGACAACAGGCATTCTTTTACGAGCAGAAACCGATTGCAGGACTGCTTCTGCAGCTTGATTGGCCGCAGCTCTCACAGCAGCTGATTCTGCAACAGCTCTCCCGGCGGCAGACTCGGGAGCAGCGCTTGCAGCAGCGGGCTCTGTGACAGACAGAGCTGAAGGATGGGGTGCTCCCCTTCTTCTCTTTCTCCAAGGTCGCCAAGCGGAAGACATGGCTGGACTAGTGGCTGGTTGGAGATGCTCCGCGGGAACCGTAACTGGTAACACAGTCTCATCCGAAGTCGTCATATAACTGACGTCTTGGGACGTCTTTTGACCATACGTCAACATTCGCCTTTTTAGGGCCCCCTTAAACGTCGGTTAGTTGACGATCCCGGGCCGTCATACAACTGACGCTTTACCTTTAACGTCAGTTAGGTGACGGGGTAGGATTAGGGTTAGGTTTAGGTCTGGGGTAGGGTTAGGATCCGATAACGTAATCTAACCGACGTTTAAGGGTACCCTAAAAAGGCGGATGTTGACGTATGATCCAACCCCATCTCACGGGAATTTGTACGATTTTTACGAGGTGGCTAATTCGTAGCAATTCATACGACCTCAATCGTACAAATTAGTACGATTTTGCTTAATCGTACATATTTTACGAATTGGCCAATTCGAATTCGTACGAATGACCTACCCCTGACCCCGCCCCTAAACCTAACCATCACGTGGGTTGTGTGGTCGTACGAATTAGTACGAATTAGCCACTTTTTAATCACTCGTACGAATTCGTACGAATTGGTCGTGAGATAGTATCGTGAGTAGTCGAGGGTAGTATGATCAAAAGACGTCCCAAGACGTCAGTTATATGTAACTGGTGCTGTAAGGGCAGACTCAGGCAGCGTTGACTCCGAGGATGATTCCGAATGAGATTCCCAAGAAATCCGTCTCCCTCGTTTGCCACTGAGATCAGCGTGTGTCTCGGGAGTCGTGGTGGACATAGCCTGGTCCCCAAGAGTCACAACGCCTATCATACGACCCTTAGAAATTATTGGTAGGCAGGCAGAAGGCAAAGATCTAGGTAACACAGTCTCATCCCAAAAAGTCATATAACTGATGTTTTCGGACGTATTTTGACCATACGTCAATATCCGCCTTTTTAGGGCCCCCTTAAACGTCGGTAGATGGCGATCCCGGGCCGTCATACAACTGACGCTTTACCTTTAGCGTCAGTTAGGTGACGGGTTAGGTTTAGGGTTAGGTTTAGGTATGGGGTAGAGTTAGGATCCCATAACCTCATCTACCGACGTTTAAGGGGGCCCTAAAAAGGCGAATATTGACATATGGTCAAAAGACGTCCCAAAACGTCAGTTATATGACGTCTTGGGATGAGACCGGGTTGATCTAGGATGCCGCCTCTGACTCCTCCCGGGAGAGACAATCATAAACCTGAGCGTAGTTCAACAGGATCCACTCACCCTGGGGTGAGTATGTGGAAGGTTAGACGCTCTTCTAGTTGAGGGGAGTGATAACCAGCATTGATGAAGGGGGTCCGGATGTCGCTTGCCAGGAAAGGACATACTGTCTGCTGGGTTCTTCTTTGGCGGTTCATTCTGTCATGAATTTCAGGGTGAACCCAATAGCAGACAGTTTGTAGAACAAACAACGGATTCTCATCCCAAGGCGTCATCTAACTGACAATTTTGACCATGCTTCAATATCCGACGCTTTAGGCACCCTTTAGCTTCAGTTAGTTAGATGATGCCATCCTAGGGCATCATCTAACTGACGCTTTACCTTTAGCATCAGTTAGATGACACGGGTAGGTTTAGGTCTGGGGTAGGGTTAGGGTTAGACCACTAGGAAAGCGTCATCTAACTGACGCTAAAGGGTGCCTAAAGCATCTGATATTAAAGCATGGTCAAAATGCCTCCCAAGGCGTCAGTTAGACGACGCCTTGGGATGAGAATGAGAACAAAAGGTTTATTGATGACAAAAAAACAGGAAAACAACACAGACGAGGGGGAAAACTTGACAATAAACTACGCAAGAACAAACAGCTAATACAAGATCACAACTTCGCTAGACAGAATTCTTGAAAAGCTGCTCACAAGTACACTCACACAATGTCTGAGACAAAGTTTGACAATAAACCAGCACAGGACAGCAAACACAAGGGGATTAAATGGGGAGAAACTAAGGAGGGGAACAGGTGACGCTAACTAGGCAATAATGACAAGACGAGGATAACAAGGGGGCGGGGTAACATAACGTGACACCATAAGCACATGGCCCAAACAATAGGCCATGCACTTGTACACAAAACATGATTCTGTCATGATCCTGCCTCAAGACTAGAGAAAATAAAGGACACAAAGGCAGAATCATGACAGAGAGAAAGAGAGAGAGAGAAAATGAAAGTGTGTTTTGACCTTTGGTGCATGTGAACCTAGGAACCTTTAAAATAGCATAGGGGCACTTTAAGGGGTTTGTCAGTATAATATAATTTAAGTTGAAATAACTTGTACAGTCAATTTGATTATACTTAAAAAATGTAAGGCACTAACTGAACAGAGTAAGTGAAATTGCTTTGTGTCTATATATGGCACATTTTAAGCATATAACATTATGCTATAATATATTGTATATATTAATGTGTGTGTGTTTGTGTATACATTCCCCTCATTAGATACATGTCTGCCTGGATCACAGCGAGTGAGATGGTTTATGACACTACTTACTCACACAGTGATGAACTTGCAGCCCTTATTCACAAAGCAGGAGAGAGGTAGAACTAACATTTCACTGCTTTAAACCTTGGAGTTTTCCCATGTACATGAACAGGCTAAACTTCAGGTGCATGTAGTGAAAAGTGGAGCATTTATATCAATAATGAAGGTTTCATCAAAATGAGAGGCTCACTTATGATTTCTTTAAATGTTTCAACAGCCTTCAAAGGAAAGCACATGTGTACTATCTCGGATGGAAAACTCTTGGCATTATAGGAATGACTGATGCCAGTGAATGTATCCCAACATATGGAGCAGGTGCTGTTTACAGTGTCATTTTATTATACGATACGCTATTTCAATTTGTTAATTTGACAAATGGGCAAATTAATAACAGCGCAAGCATACTTTTATTGGAAAATGTTTTAACGCAGAACCACATTTAATTTTTCAGATTTTGGTGACATCAGAGGTTTCATGAACAACGGTTTCAGCGAAATGAAAAACAAAGAAGGAGATCTATCATGTTTGGTGAGCTCAAAGCAATTGATAAAACAACTTAAAGGGATAAGTTGTGCAAACATGAACAATTTGTCATGATTTACTCTTTCTCATGTTGTTTCAAACCTGTATGCATTTTTGCATGCATATTACAAAACCCTTTAAAGGTGAAACAATTGTAGTAATTGGACACCATTGGAAATATATTATATTAATTTTATTTAACATTTAACATCTATTAATATAATAACAACTATTTTTAGGGACCAGAATTCATAATTGGTCACAAGGATTTTGTGGACACCATCTTACATAGCCTGAGTCAAAATGACATGATCTTATTTCTGTTTACAGTGAATGGTGAGCAAACATGAATCAATTACGATTTAAATGCATTCGACAATTATGGACAAATTAGAATATGAGCAGTTCCTTGATTATGTTTTCAATATATTTTATTGTCTCTCTCTCTCTCTCTCTCTCTCTCTCTCTCTCTCTCTCTCTCTCTCTCTCTCTCTCTCTCTCTCGAGATGACCTACATGAGGTGATGGCGCTGGCAAATCAACTAAGGCAAAGGACATCTAATTTGCATGCAATTACTCATGACCTTGAGAAATTCACCATTCCCGTGAGTAAAATGAGTGAGCTAGAATTGTGCCTGTAGCAAAAAACTCACCTCTTTACAAAATCCCCTTCCACTACAGTTCTTAAAAATGCTTAAGGGCAATTTATGTAATCAGGTAATTTTTGCACGCAGGACTTTGCATTTTATTTTACAGTGCAAATAAATTTCTATATATAATAAAGGAAGCAAACAACTAATATTTTTTGAAAACTGAATATAAATTATCGAAGTGTCAAAAGATTTGTTTGTGACATAGAACACAGAAGAACTCGATCAGATAAAGGCTTAGCCTACTAAGGAAAGTTTCTGTCAAATTTTTTTTGAAGAATTGTATAAAAAGGGCAAAAAAAAAGGCACTGTTGAGCAGCAAACAGGTATTTGAAGCTGCTGGAGTCTCTAGAACCTCAACATGGTGCGTTGTCCTGCATGAGGCACTATCCTTACTTTTACACCACAACAGAAAATGGTCAGTTATTAATCCAACATATTTTGCACCTTGCAAGTCATTTTGACACCCTCAGGGGCGGAGCCAGATGATTTAAACATTCGGGGCTTAGCCCAAACCTAGGGGGGTAGAGCCTACAACCTATTTTGTATTTAATTGTTCTCCATCATTCTGTAGTGGATCCAAAACACCAAAAATGGATGACTCTATTTTCACCCCTGACGTATATACGACGTTTAAGGTGTAAAATACAGTAGCAAGACTTTGCGATAGCAAGGTTTTACAGACTTAACTTAAAATTTACAGAAATAAACCGTATTTCATTATCTGATATAATGTTAAAGGAGCTGTATGTAAGAAATGTATTTCAAATAATCATAAAATGGCCCTGATATATCACTAGACATTAAGAAATCATGTTCATTTCCAATACTTATATCACTGACAACAGTCGTCCAGCCAGGATATTGTCATTTAAAAAGTGAAGTTGCAAACCCTCAACTGATGTTGATGTTGTCATGTTGTGTTTTGGTCTGAAGCTCCACCCTCCACCGATCTACCAATCACAAAGTCTGTAGTGTTGCAGCATCTGGGTTGCCTGCTCTGCTCTAGTTACAACGCATTCTCACCCCAAGGCGTCACATTTGACCATGCTTCAATATTTGACGTTTTAGGCGCCCTTTAGCGTCACTTACAGTACATGACGTGATCCTACGGCGTCATCTAACTGACGCTAAAGGAAAGCGTCAGTTAGAGGACGCGGTTAGGTTTAGGTGTGGGGTGGGGGTAGGGTACACGCGATCCTAGGGCGTCATCTTACTGATGCTAAAGGGCGCCTAAAGCGTCAGATATTGAAGCATGTCCAAATGCTTCCCAAGGCGTCAGTTAAGTGACGCCTTGGGGGTGAGAATGGGCTGCTAGTTACCACAGCTGCAGATACAAACCCAGATGAAAACAAATGTTGGATCCTGCAGCCTATCTGGCAACCTTGGGTCAGGGGGGGAGGGGGAGGGGATACACCGCTCTACAGTAATTTGAAAGTGATTGCAGTACCAGTCTTGGCCACAATCTTACATAGGGCTGCTTTAAGTTATATGTCATGATCCTGGTATCCTGGACTGCGCAACTGGGGTATAGGTTGCCAAGTTGGGATGACAGATGGGTTGAAATTGTAGATGGTGTGTGTATTGTGTGAATATAATGCATTTAATACAAGATCTGGCAACTGGTCAACATTAGACAAACATATTGGTCTGATTTGGGCCATGCAAATTACGATAGTTTAGAACCCCGGGAAAAACGGGAGTGTGGACGTGTATCGTCTATCTCCACCTCTCCTTTGCCAGATTATAATCTATGGTAATGTTCATGTCTGATTGATCTAGTCTTGTCTTGTTTGGTGAGTCCTGTTCTGTTGGCAACCCTAACTGTGCGTAGGCTAAAGTTATATTCCGCCCAGTTATCCTGCTATTGAAGACAAGAGATGCCTTACCTGATTTCCTGATGGCTGTTGCTGTGCCTCACCTTTTCTCCTCCGTCGTCTCTCTGGGACCTGCCAGCCCAGCCCAGGGTGTCATCTCTATTGTTTTCTTCTCTAATTGAGAGACTTTCAGTTGCAAGCCCTACGTGGGGCATTCCTTGGTTATATTGAAGACATTATTAATCTGCTATCGCTCTTGGGTCCTTCCTTCAGAGATCCCTGACATTATCAACCTTTTGAAGTAGTAATATCTGTTTTGGACCATAGTAATACACTGACAAACAACAACCACAGCAGTGATGAGGGACACATGAAATCAATCAAAGCTTATCACATGCAGCTCTTCCAGTTTCTTTCACTCAAACATTAAACACCATCATGGTAACACACGTGACGTTTTAAAAAATTTAACAGCATTAAACAACATTAGGGTCACATAAAACCCTAATGTACATAACTGATTAGACTAAAAGACTAAGCAAACTATGAAAAAAAAAACAGTTATTTTAACAAAATTCCATCAAATGTGAATTGTCACCCAGGGAATTGTGGGAATGTCAATTTATGGGTTTTCACTGTAAATTATACACTGAGTTGTTCATTTTCACTTTTAAAAACTGTAAACTGAATGGTATTTTACAGTAAAATTACATGAAATGTACCATTAGATCTATCACAGTTATTTAGGCTACCGTATATAGTAAGGAAAGGTTCTGTAAACTAATTAACAGTTTTTTCACTGTAGCATTTTTACAGTCTGTTACTGTTAAAATCACAATCATTTTTTAGTCAGTAAATACAACTAATTAAAAATGAATCAGCATGTATTTACACCCACTGTAAACGTCTCGTTTTGTGAGCTTTGGTTATGGTGGCTGAAATGCAACTGTATGTACAACTGCCAGCCTTTTTTTACCCTTTTTTTTGCCTTTTTAATACAATTAATTTGCTTGTTTGACATGTACTTACATTTATTGTTTCAGGAAACAGTTTGCCACATGTTTGAAACAGTCCTGAATATCACATGGCCTTTTTCTTCAGCGAAAGACAACTCAGTTGTAATTGTAAGTAATATTTAGTTCACATACTTCCATTGTATAAACCTAACTGTTTAAGTAAAGATTTCAATCCTTCTTTTATTTACAGAGACAGCACTGGGAGCTTTCAACCAAATTGTGTCTTAATGCAATCAGCACAGGAGCTCATGTACTGAAGGGAAAAGTCTACATGAATTACATGATAGATCTCAGAGTAACTAACAGCAAGTTGTACAGGAGAGCGATCAACATATTACAGGTATCAGTAATGCATTTTCTGTACTGCTCTCTTTATACTTAGAAATTATATATCATGCCCTAGCAACCACAATGCTAAAAATGCTAAAACTAATACCAAGGAAATACCTTGGTAACCACACACCAATACCCTGACATTGTTGCAAAGAGTTCTGCATGGCCAAAAACCAATCATATTTTCTTCAGATCATTTGTCTGTCTTTCAATTGTGAAAAGTATTTGAGCTGGAACTGTAATATGAGCCCTTTGTGTGCTTTCTGCATGGTCATTTAATTATATACCATCACTGTCAGCGGTTCACAGGCTGCTCCAAAACCCAGTGTGAAAGTGCTCTACTGAGAGCCATCTACAGCACAGATGACCTGACTGAAGACATGACAGCAGCAGATGTCCACACACACACAGATGCAGCTAACACACGGGAGCGAGTAAGAACTGGTTTATTTATCTTGGACATCTTTAAAGGCAGACAGAAATTTTTAAGATTAAAAAAAAAGGTTACATAGCCCAACACTTTCTTTTAAAGGTGTTTTTTTCACACAAACAAAGAATAGGTAACATTTTACAATAAAGTTCTATATTAGTTAACATTTGTTAACGTTAAAGTCCAGTGTTGTGACGTATTTCCAAGTAAAACAGAATATTGAATAGAGGGTGGGGTTTTACTTTATAGCGATAGCGCACCTCCATCTCTTGCTCATAGCAGACTGACGGTTGGAGGGGAGTGGTTAAAGGGATAGTTCACCCAAAAATGAAAATTAGCTCATGATTTACTCTCCCTCAAATCATCCATTTGACATTCTTCTTTCAGAAAAATACAGTCGGAGTTCTTGGCTCTTCCAAGCTTTATAATTTACAGTAGTTCAATTCAATTCAATTCAAACAACTTTATTTATACCCGTAGGGCAATTCAGTTTTAGCCTATCTGTCGTATCAACAAGACAAGAAGACAACACATATGCAGTATAATACGCCTTATTCACAGCAGCGCCATCTTTGATTTTTGATGAGAATGTAAGCGAGGCTGTGAGGGATAGACATGCATCTCTTCAATGGGCTGTACTGTTATTTAATGTGTTTTCGGATTGTTCTGCTCATGAAACACTGTAAAAATATATTTCTAAGAAACTTTAGTTGACAAAAAACTCCTGACAATGTAAGCTGTGGAAAATTGTAAGTAATCTAGGAGCTTTATTCAGCTTTTTACAGCGGATGCCATTGGAAACGCGGTAAGTCTATCCCTCACTGCCTCACTTTCATACCTGTCATGGCGCTGCTCTGAAGAAGGTCTACTATGGCAGTGAATTGGTGTTTCTTTTTTGAAGTCCATAAAAGTGCATCTATCCATCATAAACGTGCTCCAAATGGCTCCGGCGGGTTAAGAAAGGCCTTCTGAAGTGAAGCAATGTGTTTGTGTAAGAAAAGTCATTATAAAGCTTGGAAGAGCAAGGACATTTTTTTAATATAACTCCGATTGTATTTGTCTGAAAGAAGAATGTCATGTATTGTACCACTAGGATGAATTGAGGGTGAGTATATCATGGGTTAATTTTCATTTTTGGGTGAACTATCCCTTTAAGGATACTCAACCCAAGCTGTCAAACCGACGTCATCAGAGAAGGAAAACCATTCCAGAGCAAAAAATTGTTTGTCGTGATAAATCAAAATCTGAAACATTTGCTTAAATTTTTCAGATTTTGATTTATCACGACAAACTATTTTTTTCTGTGTATTAATGAACTTGCAGGGGAGGGGTTAATTGTTCACCACTAGATTAGTAATGTGTGCTGACAACGTAAATATTTGGAATGGGTCAAAGGTGTCCGACACTCAAATTAGGATTTTTTCAGTCATTTCACTGGCCTTGAAGAAACTCTTCACAGTTTAGCTCCAACTCAAACCTGTAAGGAGGTTTCTAGTAATCCTGAAGACCTTGATTAGCTCAATGGATCTGGATCTGGTGTGTTTGATTAGGGTTTGAGCAAAACTGTGCAGCTGTGGCCCTCCAGGAATTGAGTTTGAGATCACTGGTATAAAGTACAGTGGAATCCATGTGTACCAGATGTGGGCCGGATTTGAGCCGACACTCTGTTGCTGCCAGGATAAATACCTTTACTGTTGTCTGGGAACAAAACCAACAAGACATCAACATGGTGACATCGAGTGATTAAAGATTAAAGCCAGAGTCACCATGCAGAGTTGCAAAAAATGTGAAGAATTGTTTTCAAACAGGTTTCCCAAATACTATTGCCAGCCAAAAAAAACAGCCCCGCCCCAAACACACACCACTGGTTGAGTAGAGCAGAGGTTTGACGGCACCACATTGTTTTTATGCTCTGAATGGCTTAGTTGTCTTTGCATATTAAATGATTGGAGAATATATTATTATTATAAAAGCAATGTGTTATTTATAAAGGCAGATTTAACTGTTATACCTGATATGTCCTGCACTGGCAGGTGGTCCCGACTGCACTGGTGATGATCCAGAGTGGCTGCACTCATGCTGAGGCACAGCGTCATTTGGACCGTCATCCTGTAATTCGAGATGCAGTGAGCGCCTGCCTCAACTCCTCAAAAACAAGAGCACTGTGGACTGAACACACCATAAAATGATGCAGAAATATTACAATAATGTATTGGTTTCATTCATTCTTTGAAAATGTGCAAATTTAATAATAAACGAAAAGAATTATGACCCAGATTCTTTTCTGTGAGGTTTACCTACAAAATTGTTTACTTTATCCTGTGATTCGAAATGATGCATTCTCACAATGAAAGGCCATTTTTTAAGATACGGGGTTTTAAGTTGCTTGGCTTTTGTGTAACTGGTAACAATAAGGTCTCGTTTATTAACAGTATGAACTAACCATGAGCAATACATTTGTTACCGTATTTGTTGATCTTTGTTAACATTAGTTAATCAAAATACAGCTTTGCATTGTTTGTTCATGTTAACAAGATTAGTAAATGTAGAAATTAGCATTAACAAAGATTAATAAATGCTGTTTAAGTGCTGTTCACAATTACTTCATGCCAACTAATACTAATGGTAATGCTAACCTTATTGTAAAGTGTTACTGTGTAACTACAAAGCATCTACAACAACTCCTTATCATACAAATGAAAAGCTATGAAGCGTGCTACAGCCTTTTGTTTTTGCTTAAGAAAACTCAACTGGATGACATCAGGGAAATTCTGATCATTTTTTCACCAAATACTTCCTTGACCTAACTGTAACCAATAGGAACTTGCCTGGCTACAGTGAGTTGCTATTGCAGTGAGCTAGTCATTCCATTGTACCATAATTCTGCTCGTATGCACATGGCATGAGAAGAAATGACTGGTGAACATGGGGAATTCTTCGTGTAAACGCTGCTGCCGGTGTTGCCAAACGAAGAAAGAACAGCCGTCCATCATCCGTAACAGGGTCAAGTCAATCCACGACTATCCCTCACGCACAATATATGATCTAAATCTGAAGAAAGGAGATGTTCTGGAAGTGATATCGGAGACCGATTACTGGTTGTTTGTGAGGAGACAAACAGCTAAGGCTGACGGATCTAAACCTCAACTTGGATATGTGCCTAAAGACTTCGTCAAGCCGCTGGATAGCGTGGAGGCAGAGTTGTAAGTCTTTGAGTTTTTCTTTTGACCATTTTGTGCTTGTGTGAATGAATAATAAACAGAGTAATCTCAAGCTCTGGGGTTTGAATCACTGCCCTGAATGATACTGGAATCCCATCTTTCCAGTTTCACAAGTTTTGGTGAAACAGCTACAGTGCTGTTATTGATCAGCTTGTGTTTCTCTGTAGAAATGACTCACCAAAAACTCTAAGATATTTGCTATCGGGATGAATCTCATGAAAACTGTCATGAGACAAGTATACATTGAAAATGCATATGTAAATTGTAATTGAGTTTTTTTTCTTTGAGATTCATCCATTAGATTGTTTAGTTCATTGTTCAGTTAATTTGTGTACAATGTTGTTACACCACATAAATTGGACACAAATAAAAATGAACGTCATTATCAATTGATTTCAGATGGTATTTTGAGAATGTTAAAATGCGTATAGAGGCCAGGAGATGTCTGCTGAGACCCCAGAATCATGAAGGTGCATTTCTCATCTGGAAATGTTGTGAGAATAACAATTACTACTTATCAGGTACGATATGTGTGATTCACATACTCACACACAATGTCTCAAGCCTCTGCTGCCTTTAATTTCACTGTATTTTTTGCTTTCAAATTACATTGAAAAGAGAACTATGAACAAGCCTTAAGAGCAGCTGAATAACATTTTCTGTAATGATTTATTGTAAAGTGAGGAATGGACCTCATGTACGACATTACCGGATCAAGCAGAGGGAAAACGAAAAGCAGTTTTTCCTTGTTCATCATACAACTTTCCAGACCTTGCGTGAGCTGGTAGAGTTTTACTCTAAAAATGAAGGCGGACTCTGCACAAAGCTTCATGAACCCTGTGTGAAGGTCAGTGAAGAGTTTGAACCTACAGGTTATTGAAAGCAAGGCATCCTAACAGTTTTTTCAGCTCTCTTCCAATCTGTTCATTACTCTTCTAGCTGGACCAGCCAGCTCCTCTTACTCTGTCATTTGACTCCAAATGGGAGGTAGAGAGAAGTTCACTAGAAAAAATAAAGAAGCTCGGCAGTGGGGAGTTTGCCGATGTGTGGCAGGGGCTCTGGAACAAGACAACAGATGTGGCCATCAAAGAGTTCAAAGGTAACCAACAAATCGGTTAATTCAGTTGCTCTCAACGGGTTTTACTTCAGGTCCCATATTTTACGTTGGAAATTGAGTGGCTAAACAGTGTTTATCATACAAAAGCAAACAAACTGCACAACTTGGCTAGACATAGACATGAAATTCCATCATTTTTTTACCCTTTACATTTTTTCTGTAAACGGTAAATAAATAATCTGCTGAAAGGGATGGTTGATCATGTCATTACTTATCCTCTAGTTGTTTCAAACTATTTGAGTTTCTTTCTTCTGTTGAACACAAAAGAAGATATTTCAAAGAATGTTGGTGACCAGACAGTTGATGGCACCCATTGACTTCCAAAGTAAGTATACTATATGGCTAGTTCTGTCATGAAACTCTTCTTGGCTCCGGCTGATGGGTCCTTTACGCAAGCTGATGATATCTCTGTATCAACTACTTGGCACAAGATGATAGAGCTGGTAAGTCCCGCCCCTTCAGCTAGCCCCGCTGGACCTCTAGATTGAAAAATCGTCAATGCAAGTAAATGAGAGAAAGTAATTATTTTCTAATCCCGTTTGAATTTTGCAATGAATGTGAACATATGTTGTCTCTGAATTTTTTATATAACGTTTCGTGTAAAGAATGCCACTATTTAGCGGGTAGAATTTTCATACGGTTAGACTTTGTGTGAGAGCACTTTGTGGACTACAACTCTTTCGACGTGTTTGATATACATCACACCCACCAGCACACGGATCCCGCTAAACATGCCTGTCTTTGGTGCACTTCACCGCCTTCTTTCAGGGAGAGGACAAACTAGTTGAGCGTGGTGAAAACCATGATTTGTGGAGGGAAAATGTGTTATGAGGCGACGTCACATTTGGGACGTGTAGTCTTTCTCGTTATGTCCATTCCACAACTGCTAGCCAAAGAATCATACAATATACTGTCAAACTCGTTACATGAGAAATTATATAAAAAATTCACAGACAACATATGTTACATTCATGGCACAATTCAAACGCGATCAGAAAATAATTATTTTCTCTCATTCACTTGCATTGACATTTTTTCAACCTAGAGGTCCAATTGGAGTTTTACGGATGGGCGGGACTTACCAGCTCTATTGGTTCATGTCGCATCTGTCATCGTCTAAAACCCTCCAAATTCCCCAGCCCCACCTGTAAAGATCTACTTGGGGTAATTCATTTATGTTATTTGCAGTGTTGTAGTCGAGACCACCTCACTCGAGTCCGAGTCGACACCGAGACCAGAGAGAGTCGAGTGCGAGTCAAGACCGAGTCCATAGAGAGTCGAGTCCGAGTCGAGACCGAGACCAGTGAGGGTTGATTACCTAATTTACTTTTATTTACTTAGAGAAATCCTTTTTTTTTTTTTTACTGAATTTACTTAGAGTTTAAAAAATATGATCAGTTTAGGGTAAAAAGGCCACATAGTAGGTGGTGTTAAAAGTAATTTTATTACAATTTGTCATGCGCAGTTGCGCACTAGAAAATCACCAATCACAATCTGGCCGTGTCAATCAATTTAAAGAAATATTTTATTAACATACATTAATAATCATGAAAAATATTTTTAATTGAACTCGAGTGGACTCGGGAAAAATTCCGAGTCCTAAAAAAAAAATGTTCGAGTACGAGTCAATTCCGAGTCCAAATGGACACGAGTCCATGACGAGACCAAGACCATTAAAATATGGTCTCGAGACCGAGTCCGAGACGAGTCCGAGTCTCGAGTACTACAACACTGGTTATTTGTGCAGCAGCGTATCAGATTTGAATTGGTTGCTGCAAATTCCTGTACTTGTTCTGCAGTAGCAGCAATAATCTACAACAACAGCAAATAAGACCAAATACATTAACATAGTCATATCCATTAGCATGCTAAAAATCTTCAGAGAGTTGTCATGATAGAACTTCTTTTGTGTTCAACAGAAGAAAGAAACTTTTACAGGTGTGACCACCTGTCTAATATTCTGTTGGCCAAATCAGGGCCGACCAGGCATGGACTATACAAGAGCCCTGAATATGTCCTCTAGTATCTAGCCCCAAGCTGTAAACTGCAGATCCTGCAAGTCCTGTAGGTTATGAGGTGGCACCACTGTGGATTGAACTTGTTGGTCCCGTACATCCCATTGGATTGAGATCTGGGGAATTTTTAGACCAGGAAAACCACCTTGAGTTCTTCATCATCTTCCTCAAACCACTCCTGAACAATGTGCGCAGTGTGGCAGGTGTATTATCCTGCTGAAAGAGGCCACTATTGTCATGAAGGGGTGTACCTGGTCTGCAACAGTGTTTAAGATCGGTCCACCTGTCAAAGTGAAATCCACATAAATGGCCGGACCCAGGGTTTCACAGAAGAACATTTCCCAGAGCATCACACTCCCTCCACCGGCTTGTTGCCGTCACTTCTCCGGGTAAACGGCGCACTCGTACACGGCTGTCCACTTGATTACATTTAAAAGAATATGGGACTCATCAGACCAGGCGACCTTCTTCCACCTCACCAAGTTACAGTTCCAATGCTCGCGTTGCCCATTGTAGGCTCTTTCGATGGTGGACAGGGGTCATCATGAGCACTCTGTCTGGTCTGTCAGAAGAATAACCATCTTTTAAATTCTGTGCGACGTGTGCCACAGTAGACATTCTATTGACTCGGACCAGACGGGATAGTCTTCTAGCCTTCTGCGGCCAACACACCTGTAACTGGTTTCTGGTTTGTCCCTCCTTGGATAACTGTTGGTAAATTCTCACCACTGCTGACCTGGAAGCAACACACAAGCCTCACCGTTTCAAAGATACTCTGACCCATTCACCCAATATCAATTTGGTCCTTGTCGCTCAGATCTTTGTTCCTGCCCATTTTGCCTGCATCAACACATTGATTACAATAACTCATTGTTTGCTTACCATTTATTCTACCCAGACATTAACATAAGGTCTTATTAGGAGATGGTTAATGATGTTTGCTTCATCGGTGACTGTTCAGAATGTTTTGGATCATAAATAATTTTTCATGGTTTGTTTTATAATGTTTTTTTGTCTGTACATTTTTACTTGCAGTTGTCAATTATCCATATATCAAAACAGAGATTGACATCATGAAAGAGCTGCATCATGAGCGTTTGCTGAGACTCTATGCTGTGTGTACCACTAGTAAACCTGTCTGTTTAGTGACAGAGCTCATGAAAAATGGCTCTTTAAAGACAATGCTCATCAGTAAGTGAACTAATATTAACTCGTATGCAGACAATAAAACACCACATCTTAATTGACACATTGCTTTTACAGAAAAAATAAAATGATACAATTTATATTCACATGAGCTTATATCTTTCCCCAGGCCACAAAGAGAAAAAAGATCTTGAGTTTTCGCTCATGATGGATTTTGCTGTCCAGGTAACTTGATTTCTTTGAGAGTATTTTGAGAGTAGGGGCAAATATCAAATATCAAAAATCATATGACTAGTTTTTCTTAAAGGATTGTTCACCCAAAAATTTAAATTCTGTCATCAATTACTCAATCCTCATAGTTCATGTCCTCATGTCTCTTCAGGAAATTTTTGGCAAAACTGCTCAAATTTAAATGGATTAGATTTATGATTTCCCTAATGTACTTTTTGAAGCATCAAAGTGGTCATTGTGTAGCTAAACTGGCTTGGCTTTAAAATAGATCTTCATTTGTGTTCCGAAGATAAACGAAAGTCATACGGGTTTGGAACGG